CTCTAAGGAGGAAATACAGCAATCCCCAGAATCCTCAGGGGCAGGCCATGCCCACACAGAGGCCTCATTGGCTATACAGTGATTGACCGGCCAGACTCCACCCCTTCACTCCTAATGCTCTCAACTTGACAACAGATTATATAATTACCACATGGGGCGGGGGAAGAGGGTGTGGTTTAAAGTCTCATGAGGTTCCACCAATCTCTAGCCAACCAGTAAATCTGGTCTCTTATGATTTTGCTTTTTTCTCATATTTTTTCTCCCACCCAATCCAGGAGCTTTGAATGTGATGCCTTTCAAAGAAGTTGGTGTTGATAGCTGGGACCCATATCGTTCTGTGTTCAAAAATCGATATTTGATTGGTCCTTTAGTTCATTTCAGGTTTCCGTGCATCTCCATTTTCACCACTCTTCTTCTTTGACAGGGACAGACTAATAGTCACACCTCAGATGGCCCCCGATGAGCTCTATAGCCCCAGTCACTATGCACTACATAGGATGCAGAACTCTGCTATGCCGCTTGACCTAGGTCTCCACTAGTCTATGGGGCTGAACCCGCAGGCCTAGAGACTCATGCCCACAAGGTGTTTGGCTGTATCTAAGAAGTTTTCATAATTTCTCCCCCTGTTTGCTTCATGACATTCATGGATATATTTGCAGAAAAGGTAAATATCTATGTACAAATGTCCTCTGTCATCCCAACATACATTTGTGGATGTGCTTTCATTCTCCCTCCCACAACCCTGCAGCTCGCGTGCCTGCCTGTACGTAGCCACCCATAGACCATCCCGATTGCAGGGCTGCGTGTGTAATAACATTACTCTGTTTTCTTTAGAAGGAAGCACGGAAATAGGAAGCCCAGGGAGAAAATAGAATAAGTGATGTTATATTGTGAGGGTTGCGATGAAGTAGATGAAACAAACTGTGTATAATTAATTGATCTGCTCAGAATGCTTCAACCAATTCACAATAAAAAGTTATAAAAAATATTGAACAAGTAACATAATATGAATTGCCGAGAACAAGTGTGATTCCTATTGGAAGGCTAAGCCTAGCATTTAAAGGGAAAATCTCCACAGTCCATATTGAATCTTTCACTTTCTACTGAACTTGGCTCCTAATCGATAGCAAAGCAAAAACAACAAAAATAATCATGAAAGTCTGATTGTACAGAACACTCCCTCCCCTGTGGAAATGATTTCTTAAAGGAAAGAGATGGTGGACCCTCTTTAAAGAGAGGATTTACAAAAACATCGTGTGTAACAATCAGAAATCCAGGAGAAAAAGAGATCCAAACTAATGTATTAAGGAAGCTAGAAAACCAGAGACTAGTTCTTCACATAATGTATAGCAATTTTTTAGTTTATTTTTCCAATAGTCATTTATTATAAATGACTAAAATGTCCAATTTTTAAATATTTTTAAAAATCACTATCAGACAAAAGATATTTCCCCATCTTTCTTGGTTTCTTAACTCTTTGACACAAAATTATCTTTAGATTTTTGGAACACTTATCCAAAACCATAAATTCTAATATAAACTTATTTATAATTTTTTTACATATATGAAATACAATAAGCCACTCATTTCCTTAGTATAAATTTATCATAAGAGTACTAATATTATTATAAATGTGGATTCTTGTAGAGAGAAATTAGACTCATATAGTATTTATTACTATATATTATCATTTTGCTATTTCCTTATCTTTCATATAATTAATTGCAATTATGATTGTCATCATATAGAATAAAATGGAGACATTTATTTTTACATTCTAATTTAAATAACAAATACTCTTTGATACAAGTGAGGATACTAAATTAAAGTAGGTATTGGAAGGTAAATGGTAGGGTTGTCACCAGAATTTAGAAAACAAATTCTGAATATTCTTTCCATATTCCATATTACTTTTATTTTCTATATATTGAAGGATGTTCAAAAAAACAGTGTCTAGCCTTAGAAGCTGTAATATAAAATCTTCTGTCAGAAAAGCACTCCAACTGAGTGAAGGTAAGAATCTTCGGGTAATTTCTTCCCTGGAGTGTTCTCGTTGAATATCACTACGTGTTAACAGAGTCAGAGAAAATAGAAGAAAAACTAGCATGCATCACTTATGAAAACTTCATGGTGAGCAATGGGTTTGCGATCTACCTCGTAGCCAAGTAGGTCATGGTGGCTTCTTGAAATTATGAAAAAGAGACTTCAATTACTATTTCAAAGCTATATGACTCAATAATCTTTTTTGAGATAAAAATATAAAATCGGGAGTTCCTCACTTTTCCATCTGAAATACTTTGTTAAAACATTTTGCGTTCAACCTTTTCATTAATTCTAAGACAGTATTAGAGTTGCAACATACCAGCTAGGATTAATGGGTGAGAAAATGATGATCCCTTACAATTTATGACAACGAAACTGTCCATATTTTGATGCACGGTGATTAGAAACATGAATTCTGGACCTTGACTGGAAATTGACTCCTCTACTTCCGGCTGCAAGAATTTACTCAATTTGCAAGTTAAGGAAATTCTTGATGTCCCAGTTTTCTTATATTCAAATGGGGGTTAAATAACATCTGCTGCCTCTGTGTTGTGCTATTCTAATGGTTATAGCTCTTAATTTAATGCTTGACAAAAAGTAAACACCTTATATCATCATACAACTAACCTCCCTCCCCACAAAAATGTATGGTTAATAACATTGTAAGCCTTTGAAGGCCAAGTTTTATCTTTAAAATGAAATATGTTTTATAACAAGATTGCTAAACCACCTGTGTGAAGAAAAACTAGAAATAGTCAATTGATACATAAGACTTCTAGGGAAAAATAACTTTGGGGACACAAAAGCCATCTCAGCATCGAATTGTTGTATTTCAGATCATCTGGGGCTGAGGCTAATCTTAGTTTAGTCTGAGATTTTCATACATTTAAATCGCTGTAGAATGTGTCTTCCTTTTCCACCTCTCCTACTTGGTTTCTGCTTTTGATTTTAATTACTTGTATTGATTGACGCTCAAGTTAACAAATAAAAAGCATGAGCAGAAGCACCATTAGTGACCTCAATTAATAAGTGAATGGACACGATCTTAAATTAGCCTACATTAGCTCAGACCTGCCTCCTGTAAAGCTTTGTGCTGCTTCCCAGTAAGTCTGTGTGCACAACCCACGTGTTTCCCTGCTCACAGTTTTCTCGCCCTCTAGTGGTAGTTCAAATAATTCCACTTTGTAGTCCCGGCACAGGAAATGCCGTTTTTACTTCAGTTACCAGCATCCTTTCACAGGAAGTTAGGTGTGGTCTTTGAAGAATTAAAAAAATAATAATAAAAAGAAAGGAGAGGGGGTAAAAAACCCACAAAAAACAAAGGGGGTGAAAAAAAGGCATGATGGAATTTTAGCTGCAGTCTTCTTGGTGTTAATCCACCCCCACCTCTGGGTGTAAACGATTCTGCAGGGGTAACGTTTTCCTATTCTTCCGCTTATTCACTGTGATGCTTCTCTACCTGTACAGTAGAATCCTTGGGGAGTCTTTCTGGGCGAAGCTGCTGGCTGCATGTTTTAGCACGTGTCTTCCATTCAGCATCCAGGCGTGGCCGTTTCCTCTCCCCAAGTGCAGGGAGCGTCTTCACTCTGCTGCCTGTAAGTGAGGCGAGGCGTGAGGGTCTGGGGGTAGATGAGGATGATGTTATGGAGGCGCTGAGAGGTCAGTCTGCTAACATCAATGCCTTCCAGCCTTGCTGTGACTGAAAGGTCCACTACTAAACATTTCTGAAAATGGTATGATGGCATGTTTTTTTTTTAATTTCCCCTGTTTTGTCTGACGTGTACTGCAGCAACTGTCATCCCTGTGGTGTGAAGGTTTAAATGCCTGGATGATTGAAAAAGAAGGAACACTGAGATGAGTGATTGTGTACAGATGGCATTCAGGAGCTACGCTTCTTGGTGGTATTGTGTTAAGGAGCATAGGAAACCCTGCTGCTGGGCCAAGGATCACATTAGAATGACAGTTGTGCTGCGCTGAGTTAGAACCTTTAGTCAAATATGATTAGAACACCAGCAAGACTCAATTTATGTTCTAGCCAAGACCCATAGAATAAGCGCTTGAAAAAAAAAAAAGGATCAACTACCTTAAAGTTATTTTCTTCAAGTTCTGATTCGGAAACGACCACTCTGAGTGCTATGCTGGGTATTGTGTGTGCGTGTGAGAAATGGGCACTATTGGAGAAAAGGGGCTCTCTCTTTCCCAAGGCACTGTCCATTTGTTAAATTGAACAGCAATCCTGCAAGCTGGCAGTTGGTTGCTAAGCCAGGGGGTCCAAGCTAGGGGCCTCTGATGTGGGTAACTTCCTGCTTCTTTGGCAGGAGCTGGGTCCCTGCAGCTTCTGAGCAGTTCCTTCACCATCCGGCATCCCCTACTCCTCCCCCTCCCTTGCTTCCAGCAGCATCCATCGATATTTGCATCCATAGCCTGGGATTTCAGGATCTCCAGAGCCCTTTACCCGGTACATTGATTTTGACTAAGCATCGAAAAGGAGCTAACGGGAACCAAAGGGAACATGACAACTTAAGAAATATACTTGTCAGCTCCTCCTGAGCCCGTGTTGTATGAGTTTATGATCTCCCATCTCGTTTTGAATTTATGATTTTTCCCCCAGAAAGGATGCTGAAAAGATGGCTGACACAATATTCAGACAAGTAACAGAGTGAGCAGCAATCTGGATCTTCCATTTCTGATTTGAAGCTGATATCTCTGAATTAAATATCCCTCCCCACTTCCAAGTAGCACAACCACTTACAACATTTTGGAGATGAATATTAGATCACCTCCTAGACACCAAATGAACGCAAGCGTGAGAATTCCCTGTATGCCAATTATCACATCTCTTAAAAATTATGGAATGTTTGGCTTATGTATTGGATCTCACTGGCATGTAAGTGTCACAGTTATCTCTGATCCTAATGGCCATTGCTTTATTTTTTTTATCCCCCATGTTTCTATAGCACTTTCTTATGCAAGGAGCTAAACATTGATTAAAGGAGCAGGATGAAAAGATGGCACAGTCAGTGCTGGTACCACCAGGACCTGACAGCTTCCGCTTCTTCACCAGGGAATCCCTTGCTGCTATTGAGCAACGAATTGCAGAGGAGAAAGCTAAGAGACCCAAGCAAGAGCGCAAGGATGAAGATGACGAAAATGGCCCAAAGCCAAATAGTGACTTGGAAGCAGGAAAATCCCTTCCATTTATTTACGGAGACATTCCCCCAGGGATGGTGTCGGAACCCCTGGAGGACCTGGATCCATTCTATATCAATAAGAAAGTGAGTGTTTAGTCATGTTGCCTTTCTTTGTCCCACTTAGTAGTTGTTCTGGCCAGCCTTAAGGGTCTGGTAAGGAATATTGTCCTCTTCTCTTCTGTATCAGGGATTACTAGGGTGTTAGATTGGCCTGGCCACGCAATGGGTCCATTCGGTTAGAAGTCTTTGGGAGAATGCATCTGAGCTGCGTGGGACAGGTAGGAAACTAGTCATTCTGTAGTGAGGGAATTGGAGAAGGATAAAAATGGTTAAAGATGATTCACCTCCTTGAGATTTAGTTATAGTTCTAAAAAGAGTGAAAATTGACCTCCATTTTCTTTGTAAAACTGAAATCTAGCAACTATTGGTATATTAAGTTGGCTTTAAATTTCAGTTAATAGTATTTAAATATCTCCTTACAATCTATGTATTTATAGAAGCTGCCTTGTTAGTCTGCGTGTGTGTGTTCATCCACTAGCCTACATTTTTGCCCTTTCCAGAACTTTGTGTGGGTGACAGGATGGGGTGTTTCCTGCAAGGTCAGCAGTTCAAAACTACCAGCTACCCCACAGAAGAAAGCTGAAGCTTCCCACTCCCACAGAGACTTGCTGCCTCAGAAACTCAAAGTGGCAATTATAGTTTGTCTGATAAGGTCACTATGAGTCAGAATCTAATTGATGGCAGTGTGTTTTTAATTTTTATTTGTATAAGAAAGGAAAATTCAGCAGGTAATTTGTCTAAGGACAGAACATTTGAGCAAAGAGCACACATAGAAAAGTTTCCATGAGAAGACAGTTAATGGATGGAAGTTATTAAAGTTTCCTTTTTGTGTGATAGGTAAGTTATAAATGTAATTAGCAAAACCTGATAAGGACTCAATAAAAATGTTCGATAAAAATAAGAGTTCCTATAACACCCACAATAAGTTTTCTCCTTCAAATCCTTTTGGCACTTTACAAGTTTATGAGAATTTATGGTCCTCCAAGAGAACTAGCCCTTGTGCCCATTTCACCCACTGGTAATTAGTATACCACGGCATTGGTTCATGGAGCAATGTTTCTCGATAATGATCTCACATTTCTCTTAAAATGTCTTAAATATTTACCCTAAATTCTGTTTTCTGTGTTGTTTTTCTTTTTCAGACATTTATAGTATTGAACAAAGGAAAAGCAATCTCTCGGTTCAGTGCCACCTCCGCCTTGTACATTTTAACACCCTTCAACCCTATTAGAAAAGTAGCTATTAAGATTTTGGTACATTCATATCCTTTTTTTCAGGTGATCATTTTATATAATTTTGCTAACTGGCTGAGCAATTGAGGAGGGCAAATTTCAAAATACATGTGGCAGGCAGTGTTATGCGCTCTTTATTCCCCTACTCACTCAATACTTAGCATATTGCACGAATGGGATCGTGGGTAAGTGTACTATTTGTTCTCACCTCCTAAGTATTTCTCTTTTACCTACCTCACTACTGCCTCTCTCATGGTGTATTTCCCACGACTTCCTTATGAATTGCTTGCTACCTTCACACCGTCTTCACCAACTGGGACCCTATGACCAGTCTCTCCTTTTCTCAATGCTGGGTAATGAACTCCCGAACCAATTATTATTTTTGTTTCTGCTTTTCCATTTGGAAGATACGTACATTATTTGCATTTAATATTTATACATTCTAGTCTAAGTGTTAATATTGTCTGCTTTTCATTTCAGCATTTGACAGCTTTAAGTTAGTGAATGCTTAAAAGCCCGGCTGGCTGCGTCAACACTAACCTGCCAAGTACTTTGTAACATTGTCTTCCCCAAATCAGTGCCCCCTGGTGGTCTTCCTTGCTCTCTGCTTCCCTCCCTGGCTGGCTCTCTCTCCTTTCCGACCTCTTGGCGGTGGTATCTATGTGTCATTCAAGAAACAGGTTCTGTTACCAGTAATTGACTGCCATCCAACGTCTTAATGCGGCATCGACCGTGTAAGTTCTCAGTCTCCTTATTTGAAGTATCTGGTTTATGGAAATTGGATGTATGGCACCTTTGTACCAGGTGGTGATTTGGCTTACTTTTGGATAGAGTATTCAGACATGAGAGGTGTTGTTCCACATTGGGCTTCCTGATCTGGCTGACGGCCAGGTCTGAAAAGGCCAAGGAAGCAAAGGCTAGAAGACGGTGGCTGCAGCAGGGCAGGGGACACTTTGAAAGCAGAAGGCTTGGGAGGAGGACTGATAGGCACCAGGAGCCAGAGGTAAGGAAAGGGAAACAAGTATTGCAGTAAATCCTCAGCTAAAGAAACATTTTATAGTATTTCTTCTGTAAAAGTCGTTGCCCGGGTTTCCATGACATGGCCATCCCAGCGTCTAGCTTTTGCAATATAAAAGCTTACCAATGTCAGTAGAGTACAAGATATTTTCATTAGATGAGGTGAAACTATAGAGAAGGTAGGACACTGGGGAGATTCCTCAGTTTTTTTCACAGTTTTTCATGGAGTAGGTGCACAGCATGTTCCCAGATTTGCTGGCCTGGCAGTGTGACAAAATATCCACAGAAGCATGGCATTCTGGGAATCCATCTCCTGTCACCTCTGGTTCACAGCACCCTCCCCCCCAAGTTTTAGATGAATATAAGCATACTTTCATTTGATATTCATGTAGAAGATTCTTTTTTATTTGTTTGATATTTTCTAATGACTCAATAAGGATATATTCCAAATGGCTCACGTTGGGATAGAGGGGGGAGAGAAGAAAAGGCTTATATCTAACATGGATCCATCCTCAGTCTCATGCTAGTCCTGGCTAAATTGAACAAAGGTCCAGATCAACTTAGAATTATGTAATGCTGTTCAGTTTGCACCTGGTTCTCCCAGTGATGTTGTCTTCAATTCCCCCCAAACACAAGCATTGGCTCAAAGGCTGGTGTTCTGACTTTAAGTATGGAACCTTTGTCAACAAGTTCAATCTGTTTGGAAAAGGTCATGGCAGGTTTTGCCAAAATTTGGAGGTGATTGTGAATATGTTATTATTAGTTTGTAAATCAGAAGAATAGCCATCCACAATTAATTAGCATTATAAACTTGCATTGATAGCTTTACTTCCAATAAACCATTAGCCATTAAGTGTATTCCAAAGTGTCTAATATTTCATAAAGAGCTAATGATATCTTCATGAGGACATATTACATAGCAAAATGACTGTTTTTTAATTTTAGCAGAATGAGATGTTATGCCTACTATATATATTTTTCCAAATTTAAAAAATACCTTAATGTGTCTAGTATCTTGTTTTTGTAGTTACATAGTTACATTTTCTTCATCAGAATTTAAAAATAATACATCTAAAACTTTCAAACTTTTTACCTGTTTTTTAAAAATTATTCTAACTTAATATGCATACCCTTCTCCTTTATTTTACATGCATGGTTCATTCAAACATTCATCTGTAATTGTTCTTTGAGTGTCACTCCTGACATAAGCGTTGGGCTGCAACGTTAAAGCATTCAAAATTTCTGCTCTCATGGAGTTATAGTCCCAAGTATGTGTGTGGTTTCCAGGGAGAAAGATAATAAACACATAAACCATATGTCAGGTAGTGATAAGAACTTTTTTGAAAAAAAGAAACCAGTGGACCAGAGAAGAGAGAACTGTTTCAGGTAGCATGGTCATGGAAATTCTCTTTGAAAACGTTCCTTGGGAATCTTGCAGAAAGGGAAGTAGAGGAATGAGTATGAAACAAAGACAAGGCTTTCTATTCCCATAAAGCGTCGCAGACCCGGAAACCCACACGTGCAGTTCTACGCTGTCCAGTAGGGTCAGTATGAGTTCACACCAACTCTGTGGTAATACATTTTCAGAGTACCTGCAGAGCAGTGGTTCTCAACCTGTGGGTCGCGACCCCTTTGGGGGCCGAACGACCCTTTCACACAGGAATTGCCCAATTCATAACAGTAGCAAAATGACAGCAACGAAAATGATTTTATGGTTTGGGGGTCACCACAACATGAGAAACCGTATTAAAGGGTCGCGGCATTAGGGAGGTTGAGAACCACTGCTGTAGAGAAATATTTACAATCAGTGGATGTCTATATAAGTGGTACTTAAAGCTAAATGGGTTGTTGAGCTCTACGAGATGAGGGGAGACGGTAGCTTGGAATACAGCCCCAGAAAAATGTCACGTGTCAAAGAATACAGTGAATATGCTCAGCAAGGAACCCAGGGTGCTGCGAGGGGAAAGCGCAGGTCAGAGAACAGGAGTGCGATGACAGAAGGGAGGGCAGCTCGAGTGGGGTCCTTAGCGGTCCTCCAGGGAAAGGACACGCGAGCGGAGACCCCTGGCATGTTGTGGGCGGGCTGCAGACGTCCACTACACGGGTAGAGGGATGGACCCTTTGCCTCCCGTAGCGCGAAGGACCGAAGGTAGGTGCTAGTGCAGAGAAGTTGGTCAGTTTGGAGTGGAGAGTGGGGACGGCGATCAGAGCTTTTCTGTCTGGGAAATAAGGAAGGAGGTCAAAGACAAGGCTTTTCTGTCTGGGAAATAAGGAAGGAGGTCAAAGACAAGGCTTTTCTGTCTGGGAAATAAGGAAGGAGGTCATTCACTCGAGACAGGATGAAGGTGGAGGGGTGAAGAGGGAAGACTGGGGCTGAAGGGCAGGAATTCAGAGGTCTTCTGGGGACTCTGAGAGGTGATTCCCAAGCACCGTTCCTGTCTCCAAATAACAGAGGAGGCCAGCAGACACAGATGCTTCTGTAGTTTTATATAGCATTTACATGCCATCTTTCATTTTAATTGTGTTTTTAACCATAAGATAAAATTTGTTGTACCCTCAAAATGGTGTTTCTCTGGGTGTGTGTTTTGCTTTTTTTCTTGTTTTGCTATTTTTAGGTTGTAGTGCCCTCAGGTGGTAATCTACATCATTCATTTGTGACCGTTTTCTTCTGGAAGCATTGAGATACTGGGAATGAAGCACATGGTTACATCACTGTCTTTGAAACATGAAATATGAGGGGGTACCACCACCAAAAAAAAAAGAAAACATGGCATTTTTTTTCAAAGCTATGTACCTATATACTCCAGTATAAGCCGACCCAAATATCAGCTGAGGCACCTAATTTTACCACAAAAACTGTATTAAAAATGTGCTGAAAAAACTCGGCTTATACACAAGTATATACGGTATCACATTTTTTGTTTTTTACTACAAATGGGCCCTATCCCCTACAAAGCACTCTCCATCACACAATTCGTTTGTCAAATCTGTGATCCCATTCTTGGAAACATTTTTCAAACTCTTCTATTTGGATGGCTGACAGCACCTTCCTTGTCTTTCTCTCCACTGCTTCTGTGTCGTCAAATTGCTGTCCTCTCAGGCACCTCTACAATCGCAGAAACAAAAAGAAGTTTCATGGAGTGAGGTCAGGTGAGCAAGCTGTGTGGGGCAAGAGAGGCATGCCGCTTTTTGCCCAAAACTGGTACACTGAGATGGCTGTGTGAGCAGGTGAATTGTCATGGTGGCAAAACCAGTCTCCTGTCTGCCACAAATCAACCCTTTTTTGTCCCACACTCTTACACAGTCTTTTCACAACTTCTAAATAGAAAGCTTGATTACAGTCTGACCTGTTGGAACAAATTCCAAATGCACTATCCCTCTCACATTAAAAAGAAAAAGAGCATCGTCATTATCTTCGATTTTACTTAATGAGTTATTGTGTCAGAGTGGCGATAGCATCTTCCACTGGCTTGATTGATGTTTGATTTCCAGATCATAAGAATCGCACCACATTTAGCCACCAGTAATGACCTTGGGAAAAATATCTGGGTCGCTTCGGAGCTGTTCTTTCAAAGCACAGCATGTCCACTCCACGTTCCTTTTGCTGGTCAGTCAGAACCCCAGGCGCAGATTTCGCAGCGACCTTTCTCATTCCCAAATCTTCTGTTAAAATTCACTGAACTGAGCTCCAAGATCATCTAGATAACTTTCCCACCTCTTCAAAGGTACGTCGTCAGTCTTTGAGCACAAGTGCACGCATTTTGTTGACAATTTCATCTGTTCAGGAAGTTGACAGATGTCCAGAATGAAGTTCGTCATTAAGTGACATTTCACCTTTTTTGAAATGAGAAAATCACTCATACATTTGAATGTCCCCCCCTAGTGCTGTCCTTGTAAACTGTGTTCGACATCACAATGGTTTCTGCAGTATTTTTCCAGAACAGGAAACAAAATCTCATAGCCACATGCTGTTCTCTTAAATCAGCTACTACAAAAAATGAGGTTCAAGTGAAATTGAAAAAATCCACTATGAGCAGAGAGAACCTTCCCAGGCGACACCACTGGGTGCACTAACTCAGAGCAAATTGCTCAGTGCTCCCCTAGCGGGGGGGAAAAATGCTACCCATGACAGCTCCACATAGGGGAGCCTTTTCCATTTTGGGGGGTACCCCCTCATAGATTATTGTTTTCACTAAGCCATTTGCCAGTGTCGAGGAACTTTCTTTCTTGATTAACAGGACACTGGCTCCTCAGGGGCTTGTAGTTCGACACTTGAAGTTGCGTTGATATTGTGTTACGTGAAAGTAATGTGATTGTTTTATACAGAAATCAGAAGTAATAAGGGACTAAAAATTCCCTTTCTGCGATTTTTATCATTGTGCCTAGATTAACATTGATAAAGACTAGCAATTTACATAATTGCAACTGAATGCTTATTGTGCTTTTTTTCACTAAATGTGAAGGAAAATAATTTCAATAATTTAACTACTGAAACTGTATTATTCTTAACCAAATTTGGTTGTTATTTTTCTATATAGACAGAAAGAAGAACCTTGACTATGCCCACAGAGGTAAAGTGGAACAGGGTGAAGCAAACCAGAGGCTAGTTATAAGCAGTGTTCTTTATGATTCAGAAAGAGGTCTGGGGGCAGTTTATTGAGAATCTCCTAGGTCCTAGGCACTTTAAGATGTGGGAGCTTCAACATATTTTGTCTAATTTGATCATTAAAGCACCCCTGGAAATGGTTACCTTGGTTCCCGTCACAGGATTCAAATATTTTAAAAACCAGTTCACTTCCCTAATGACGTGTCAAGTATTAAAAAATTATATACCAAAAGGTGGTTTATGATTTCAGAGAGCTAAATAAGAACAATAAACTAGGTGTTATAAGAAAGTTCTAAAATAATAAAAATATGAGATAATACCTGAAAAAACCAATAAAAATTACTTACGATATTTCCATATTACTCTTGATTGACATCTTCACTTGCAATATTCTTTGGTTTTACGTGAGTCTCATCATCTGTGTGATTTATCCTTAACCATCTTTTACTGTAGGAGTAGGATCCCATTCCTTTAGAGGTAGGCCAATTAGACAGTAGTCATTATGTTTGATGTATTAGAAAAAGGTGACCACGCTTCTCTGAACATATTATATTCATCTCTGAAAAACTCCTTTCTCCTGCTGAACTTACGGCAGTGATTCTGACTGTATTTTCTAGGTATTGGAACCCTCTTAGGAATTGCATCATTCACTCATCACATCCTTTGAGAATTTGGGGCATAACACAAAGCTGCAATGAGTGTGAGTGTGTCATTCTCTGATAGGTTGGCACCTTTTCTCTTTATGTTAGGTTTGTTTACTGAAGTAACAAACACAAGGGAATAAAAATGTATTTCATCAAGAGTTTAATGAGTTTTATGAAATGAATAAATAAATATTACAAGCATCATGTCCTCTAAATTTGTATACCTGTGGACAACACGAACATTACTATGGTCTCTTAGAATATGCTGTTGTGCAGATGAATGTTTAAAAACAGTAAGAATGTAAAGTTGTGATTTCTACATCGGCTGTTGCCCAGTCGCGCATCTCACAGAGAACCCTGAGTGTAATTGCCATTTTAACTTATGGTTCTTGGAATTCAATCAAATATGAGGTATCACTTCTGCCAAACTCGTGTAAACTGAATCCTGCCATTTCTTTGTGCTCACTTTGAATGCCAAACCAACTGAAGTTCAGGGAACTTGGTAAGTAATTTGGCCAAAGTCAAATTCAGGGAATCCCACTGCTTACAGCAGTCATCTTAGAATTCTGTGAGCCATTACACTGTAATCCACACTCCTCTTTGAAATATCCTTCTTGTAAGGTGTTCTTCCAGGGTGACCCGTAGGTGCCTTTGCTGAATTACTTGACTTCTTTCATGGAGTTTTTGTGCTAGGGATTGACATGCCTATTGAGTTTGCAGTTAAATTGCTCAACTGAGTCTGTCATTAAGAAAACTTGAATTGGTAAATTATTTATCCACCAGTGAATAACTTATTTTGCTGTCTTTAATATTCTTTCATAAGGAAGACTGGTGGCGCAATGGTGAAGCATTTGGCAGCTAACCCGAAAGTTTGTCCTCCAGAGAAAAACCCTGGCGAGCTAATCCCATAATGATCACAGCTAAAAAAACACCCTAGGCCAGTTGTCCTCCGTCACAGAAGGCCATGATGAGCAGTCTTTTCATAACCCAAAGCACCTGTGTGCAAAGGAGGTGACAACATGCCTTACCTATGGGTTGCTGAGTTTACAGAAATGGTTGTTTTTTTTTTTAAAGAACCTAAAGCTACAATAGTGGGAGCAGGAAAGTTTTCCGTTTTGTGGTGGTGAATGGCATGATAGCGCATGACAATAAGATGTTCATTGTACTTTGTATTCCTTGACAATCTTCTTCACTTTATTCAATGTGCTTATTATGTGCACAATTCTGACCAACTGTGTATTTATGACTATGAGTAACCCTCCTGACTGGACGAAGAATGTGGAGTAAGTAGAAAATTACAAATAGCTCTCAGTCTTGTCATCCCTTTTATATTGTGCACCGAGCTCTTTGCATCTTGAGACTGCATGCGTTTATTTTGCAGTGGAGACTACTGAAGCCAGATGTTGGTTCAAGTCCATTTCAACCACTACCACCTTCTAGAACAAAGCTTGGGGCGACTCGCTCACTGCACTGGTTTAATTGCCACGTTGTGTAAACCTCTGGCTTGCTTGTAGGTCTCACATTCCTTGAAAACCATTGGTGATTACAAAGAAATGATTACTATCAAAAGGTCATCAGTGGTTTCTGATAAAACTCTGTGTGTGCCCTTTCTCATGGTTATCACAGTGTTGTCCAGGCAGCCCTGCGGGGACAGGGCATACCTACCCTTCAGGCTATGTAAATGTGCCCTGACTTTGAAATTTGCTGTGCATGCAGCTTTTACCTGATTGAAAATGCTGTCGGCTTCTCTTGCACAGAAGTAGGGCTAAATAAGCACCACTTGCACTTGTTCTAATTCACCTAGAAATTCCACTTAAAAGATTTATATATACAAGAATCTATCTTGTTTGTAACCCAGGGATTGCTTGTATTTCACTGGCATATGAGGGAGTTTTTCTATGAATTATTTGATGCCCCCTCATATAGTTCATGGGTCTTCATGGCGCATGTTTTATGAAACATAACCACTTCGTTCATTCATCTTTAGGTTATTATGTTGCTAAAATCACTTTCTAGTAAGAATATTTTAGAATAGATAGAGTAAAAGTCAGTTGACTACAGATATCAAGACATGTAATTTGGAGCCTCTCATTCGTCAGAGACAGGAAGAATGTCCTTCAGTGTTTCATGTTTCCTTCTGCCCTACTCCCTTCCTAAGGCTTGTACGACATGGAGATCCACATGGAGGCCTCACGTTCTGGCTTGTTGTCTAAGCATCCTTTAAAATGCACATGCAAATTTCCTAATAGATCGTTAATACTGGCTTGGCTATTTTCTCTCAGGTATACATTTACAGGAATTTATACTTTTGAATCACTTATAAAAATACTTGCAAGAGGCTTTTGTTTAGAAGACTTCACATTCCTGCGGGATCCCTGGAATTGGTTGGACTTCACAGTCATTACTTTTGCGTAAGTATCTTCCATTTCCCATTTCGGAAAAGCGAACCATTGACGGGACCCTGCTCTACATTTCGCGCTGGTGGCTTCCCCTGAGAGCTAGGCATTGTTCTTAGTTGTCTTGCGAATTTAGAATCTTTTTCTTCCAACTCAATTATTCACTTTAGACACATTAGCAACTACCATAGTAAATTTTATGGCTTTGGTTTTAATGCCTGCTGTAACGTAATGAGATGCCCCAATAACAGCGTTGATGGTTGCCAGCAGTGTCAACATTCTGTTAACTGGGAAATCGGATGGTAATACCCATTGAGGTTGGAAAGGTCTTTATGAAAGACCAACGTAGACAGAGTTCCCAAACTTCTGAATGACTCTGATTTAATCCTACAGGTATGTAACAGAATTTGTAAACCTAGGCAATGTTTCAGCTCTTCGAACTTTCAGAGTCTTGAGAGCTTTGAAAACTATTTCTGTAATTCCAGGTAAGAAGAAACTCATATAAGGTGGTAGTCCCCTTATATCTCCAACTGTTTCTTGTGTTCTGTCATTGTGTTTGTATGTGAACCCCCATTACAGATATGTGACAGAGTTTGTGGACCTGGGCAATGTCTCAGCGTTGAGAACATTCAGAGTTCTCCGAGCATTGAAAACAATTTCAGTCATTCCAGGTGAGAGCGAGGTTAAACACCGAGGCTGATGTTAGCTATACCGGTGCCCAAATCTTGGCTTCTGTGTATAAGCCTTGTTGCTTGTCACATATTGCAAATAAGTATGTGAAAAGGCAAGAATCCAGTACATCAGATTTTGGGTGGATTTGATTCTTTGCTTTCACTAGTTGCTCGCTTTCAAAACTGTCCTAAATCAGCCTTTGAGTTTAACAAGTTTTTGCATGAGGCATTTGCAGTAACAGGCTACATGGTTTGCATCTTATAACATCAAGCTTTTCCACGTAGACGCTAAAGTGAGACATTCAAACTGATGCAAATTTGACCATTTAGATCTACAGCCGGTATTGGTATTTTGTTTTTGAATGAGGTAATTAAAGGGACTATCAAGGGGTAGCATGAGTGCTGCATGGGGTTCCCTCTTCAGATGTCTTCCTTCTTTAACCCACCCTCGTCTTGTAGAATTCAGAAATAGGTGACCTCGTACTCCATTGACTTTATGATTTCTTACCACTTTATTCATATAGATTCTTCTAAAATCAATAAGGGGTTCAGGAGTAAGACATCTATAAATACAAGCAAAATATTTACACAGGGTTGATGTTTAAGCATGAATAACAAAATCATTTCTTTTGCTAGAAGGAGTTTGGAAATACCTGTTTTGTTCATTTTCATTCACAGCATTCTAATGAGCATACAAGTTCTGCTATTCATTCATTTTCACCAGCTAGCAGGCTTTTCATGAAAATGTTATTCAATCATAAACATTAAATGAATATGGTTGGCATTCTGCATGATATCTTTCTTTCCCAGGACAAGCTCATAATGTTTTTTGTTGATAAAGCCACTATTAAGTACCATATTTAAATTTCTCCCCCTGGTTTTATCTGTAGGCCTGAAGACCATTGTGGGGGCCCTGATCCAGTCGGTGAAGAAGCTCTCAGATGTCATGATCCTGACTGTGTTCTGTCTGAGTGTCTTTGCCCTGATAGGACTCCAGCTCTTCATGGGCAACCTGAGGAATAAATGTCTACAGTGGCCGCCAGAGAATTCTACCTTTGAAATCAACATGACTTCCTTATTTAATGCTTCACTGGATATGAATGGTACCATTATCAACAGAACAGGGATGTTTAACTGGGATGAATATATTGAAGATAAAAGTAAGATAGTCTTTTGATCATTAAGTTCTTTAAACACTGTTTAGTCCTTCAAGTATATGTATATAAATTTACACTGAATTTAGCTCAATTTTGATATGAACCAAGTGGCAGGCTAATTTAAAATAACATGTAATAGAGAAATAAAATATCTTACTTCTTTTTCCTTATGTCAGTAAACATGATAAGAGATATGTGTGTGCTTCTTACATGTATTTTTTATTGTATGTTTTTGCATGTATCTAAAAGTATATGTGGTTGTGTGTTTACTATTCCTGAGGCCAGCAATTTTACAACTTAGTGAAATTACATATACACATGCATTACCATGTACTTTGAAATGACTGTTAAGTGTATTTGGAAAATATATACCACCCCCAAAAGAAGCAAGTTTATATTTTTTCAATTAAAAGTAGTAATCAAACCAAACCCTGTCTTACAGTCATAAAAAGAGGAACAAACACCAACACCCACTTCTAATGCGAAATTAAGTTTGTAACTGGCAAAATAAATGAAAATGTCAGAACCTATCCTGAACCCGGGTAAAGAGTATTTGTAAAATAATAGTTTATTTGCATGGGGGCATTTAGCAGTTTAGTTTCCCTGTAACTTTTGGGCCAAGGAAAAAATTAAACTGGCAGTTCTTTCTTGAAATACCCCCACACAATTAGACCTTATATTTATAATAAATGTTGATATCAGAAAATTATAATAATTATTTCTCCTGGATTCTTGATCTTTTTAAAACAGACTTATGGAATATTTAACTAATCAAAACTGTTGGCTTGATATTTGTTTAAGATTTCATTATTATTAAAATGAAATGTCTTTAGAAGCCATTTATATGTATTATTTTCTGTCAACAAATATGATTGAAATACATTTCTGAGAATTATCAACAAATATGATTGAAATACATTCCTGAGAGTTATTAACTGGATTCAATGGTTGAAACATTTTGAGAGTCTTTGAGTAATTATTTTTATCCCTTGCTTTTTAAATAGGTCATTTTTATTTTCTGGAAGGGCAAAATGATGCTCTGCTTTGTGGCAACAGCTCAGATGCAGGGTAAGTGATGTTTCTATTAAGCCTCCCTTGGCCCTGCTCCCTCGGCCTCAATAACTTGCCACCTTCCTCCCACCCACCTGGCCCCCACTTGCTCCTCATTCGAAGACCTCCATATATTCTCCCTCATGCTGCCTCCTGGAATAGCTGGGATAAGTGTGGATTCTCACCTCCTTCACACACTCATCTGCAGCCATTATTTGTTTCATTCTAGGTCACATCTAAGCTTCCAAATAAACACAACGAAAATGAGAGAAAACATCAGTATTCTGCATAAGAGGCTTAAGTTAATGGAATTCCCTTACAAGTGTGATAATTCATATTTGGCAATGCGGTCCCCTTGGTCTTAAAATGCAGTGCCTCCGAGGGCAATGTCAATCTCTGAGGCCTGGTCAGGCATCATCTAGCAGAGTGGTTGAGAGCACAGACCTGAGAGTTTGACTCACTATTTGAGCTTAAACCATGTCTATACCATAACGTGCCAGTGTCTTCAGGCCATAGCTGGGCATAACAATAGAGGTGCCAGGAAGATGGAGTAGATTGGATGTCTTAGATAGATGAATGTGTGTACAGCTCTTATAGCACTTTATAAGTGCTTTTAGTGATGGAAATCTATGTCATTGAACCTCTCCTGCCAAGAAGCAGGAGCCGGGAGATAAAGCCTAGGTTTCATAAATATAACTTTCTCAGGAGATTTGGCAAGATTCAGAATTATAGATAGATGTCTGATATTATTTCTATGTGAGAAGATGTTATGTACATTAGTAGCTAATAACCTGTAACCTATAAATGTTCAACGGCAACAGACTTGCAGTGATCCTAGGAGAAAGAGAATGCTGCTTCTCTTCTAGATTCCAATGACCTGAAAATCAGACTGATTGTCCCGAGGTGTGCCACACTAAATGCTTCATATACATTTCACTTAAGTCTTACAAAATTGGGATTTATGTTCTATTATTAGCCTGTTCTTGTGTTTGAGGTGCCCAAAGATTACCAGAGTTAGGAAACTGGCCTAAGATCATGGAGTCCAAAAGTGGCAGGCACAATATAATTGTCTCAAATCTGTTTGACCATCAAGATCAGACTGTCAAAGGTACATTGTACAGGGTCATTTCCTTCCCTCAGTGTGCATCCCACCTCATTATTGTACCTTCTTCACTTCTCTTTCTGCCCCTTATATTCACACATACTTTTACCTTCAGTTATCTTTGGCAAAAATCAATTTTTCCCTGTAGAATTATTTATTCCTGTTGACAAGTACCAGAGTTATGAATCATTATAAGATTGCTTTTGAATAGACCCATGAAGCAAAAACCAAATGAAACCCACCACCATTGAGTTTATTCCAACCCACCATGACCCGATACAGGATTCCCAACACTGTAAATTTTTATGAAAGCAGGCAGCCTCACCGTTGTTCCACAGAATGGCTACTTGGTTTGAACCCTTACCTTGCAGTTAGCAGAGCTCATTTATATAAGGATGTGATAAGTATAATAATGAGAGTGAATGACAGACAAGTCCAAAGTTAAACTTAACAAATCTCATTGTATATCAGTCTAGTGTGTTGTTCTGGATTAAATCCTGGATAAGCTAAGAGGAATCTGATTTTCTTAGTTTTATATAAAGTAGAGATTGGCTTCTATGAAAACAGAAAAACAAATCATAAGCAGATGTGCAGTTGCTGAATGCCTCTCTTTCCTCTACCTATTCACAGCCAGTGTCCAGAAGGTTACATCTGTGTGAAGGCTGGTAGGAACCCTAACTATGGTTACACAAGCTTTGACACCTTCAGTTGGGCCTTCTTATCCTTATTTCGACTCATGACTCAAGATTTCTGGGAAAACCTTTATCAACTGGTGAGGATAGAGGAAATCTCTGAGAAGCATGGAATACTGAGATTAAGATAATTGCTGTAAAAGATTTTATTATAAGACATAAAGTGTAAGAGCTAGCACCCTATATAAAATGTAATATCTCTTCTGTTCTTGCAGACACTGCGCGCTGCTGGGAAAACATACATGATATTTTTTGTGCTGGTCATTTTCTTGGGCTCATTTTACCTAATAAATTTAATATTGGCTGTTGTAGCCATGGCCTATGAAGAACAGAACCAGGCAACACTCGAAGAGGCAGAACAGAAAGAAGCTGAATTTCAGCAAATGCTTGAACAGTTAAAAAAGCAACAAGAAGAAGCTCAGGTATCGTCTCGCAAGAGTAGCACTTTGTTTTTATCTCAGTTCTCAGGTCTACCTATGGAGATCAGTGGTGTTTAGTACCTAAAATCAGCACTAGTAATTGACACTTAAGGTGCTTGTTTAATTTTCAGGAGGTTATTGTTCTATTTTGAAAATTACTGTCAAAGTTAAAGGCGTCTAAATGTGGAGAATTCTTGGGGAAATTAACTCTTAGCACTCTCGTTTATGTAACTTCTCAATGTATCTCTTCTGTGCTCTCAATAAAAACGTGTTTCTAATCTTCTGGCGGAAAATAACAGTGACAGTTTCTTTACTGCCATGTCATGATCGGTGGGAAGAGTTGAATGGCAGAGTCAAACTCCGAAGAGTGCTTCCTGAGTTTGGAAAAGACAGAGACAGATGCTGTTGTGACTCTCTTGAAGAGTATACAACTGCAAGTTTGTGGGGCTGAACATGGGAACTGGAGGGGCAAACACTGCACATCAGCTACAGTCTCTGCCTCACTCCCACTCAGTCCTGTCGTTTGGGGTTAATAAGGTTTCAACATGAGCCAAGGGTTCCTCTAACTATATCCACTCATTGAAAAGGCTAATCCAATTGGCTAATTGTTGTTTTGGCTTTTCCTGGATGTGGAGTCCAATTTCCTTTCCACACTGAGTTCCCTTAACCAGGTCAGAGAGGTTAGACAATGAAAATCAATTAGAGCGGCAGTAACAGCATTGAACATTTTATTTTTCTAAAACTGTACTGTTGTTGATGCAGAGGGCAATGAGCTAGTGCTCCTTGATGCAAGGCTTATACTCTCCCTTTGATGCTCTTTTTTATTGAAACATTTGCTACATCAAAGAGATGGTTATTTATTTATTAAAATTAAAAAATTCAATTCAGTAATTCCAACAAAAGTCTCAATAGTGTGTATCTGTAATGGAAAGCAAGCCACTTGCCGATTTTAAAAGAAAGCCTTTTGTAACGTTTTGCACTCCTAAGTAATATCAAAACGTCCGCAGGATTTAAGTATCCTGTGCATGTTATTAGAAATTTTTAGAAAGCACACTGCGAAGCCAAACCTTGACAGTTTCAATTGAAGCCACATGAACCGTCTTCTACATCTCAGTTGATGTTTATCCTTCAATTGATCTAACCACATATAGGATTTCTAAAATATAGAGTAGAATGAATCGTCTTTTTTTGTTCTTTCAAAATCATGTTCCCGGCATTAAAGGTACCTTGAGCAATCACGCGACACAGTTTAAAATCGTCCGTGTGCAACCGCTGCTAACTTGGTGTTTTTGCAGGCAGCAGCGGTGGCAGCGGCTTCCACGGAATCCAGAGAGTTCAGTGGAGCTGGTGGGATGGGCGTTTTCTCAGAGAGCTCTTCAGTAGCATCCAAGCTGAGCTCCAAGAGTGAGAAGGACATGAAAAACAGAAGGAAAAAGAAGAAACAGAAGGAACAATCGGGAGAAGAAGACAAGGAAGAGCGCTTCCGCAAATCGGAATCGGAAGACAGCATACGGAGAAAAGGGTTCCGCTTTTCCTTAGAAGGCAGCAGGCTGACTTATGAAAAGAGGTTTTCTTCTCCACACCAGGTAAAAAAAACCACACACAACATTTTATGTAGGTAAAATCATTACCTACCTTACATTCTCATGGCAAATGAGTTCCCTCCTCAAAATTTAATGTTCGGGGCAGAGATGTCACTGGGCTTGGCAGATGTGGAGACTCAGAGGGCCTTATGTGCTCAAGTCGTGCCAGGTCATGGTCCACACAAAGAATCCGCAGCGGATGGCTCCCATCCACTCCTTGCTCCCGTGTCTGGGCTCAGTGAATCGAGCTCTTCCCTGAGGGGCAGGTGCCCAGAAAAGGGTCAGAAATGGTTCACACCACTTGTGCAGGTGTCCTCGTTGTCTTACAGTCTTCACAAGAAGGGTGAATTCTTCCTGCCCTTGTTTCAAAGGAACGGAAGCAAAAAGTATCCACCCAATTCTTAGCTAGATATGCAGTCAAGAAGACTTATGTCCAGAAACTGACAGTGGTAGTTGATTGGGCTCAAGTCATCCGGGTTTCATATTTCATGTGGGACTGGCTTTCGAAGTTATACCCTGATTGGTTTAATGTTAGGAAAAATGTTTACCTAGTTCCTCTGGCTTGTGTGTCCACACAAGCTGTTGAAATCTTACCATTTAGCATCGTTCTCTTATTAAAAACATTGCCAAGAAGACACCGTTTTTCAGGAGAGTGTTTGATGCGGGGTGGAACCTTAATGTCCACAAAATAACAATAACAATCAAAATAGCAATAAGCAGGATAACAAGGATAATGACGAACACTTATCAGAGCAATACTACGTACTTACGATATAAAGTCATGTAACCCTCTCACCACTAGGTCAGTACTATGCTGATCATCTACAATTTACAGTTGTGGAGGACAGGGCAGCGATAACCTTTGTGGAGGGCCTCTGTTATACTTGGCCCATTTACATCAGAACGTTGAATGCTACCAACACCCCTGTGCTTTATTACTTTCACAACCATTGGAGCACATGGATTTAAATAAATTTCAATGTTGGTAAGATGGAGCTGATTTTCTTCCATGATTCCTTCTGTTTGATCTAAACTGGTTTTGGGTTTTAGACATTACCTGGACATGGTGCATCTTTCTTACTGGTCCTCTTCATGGCACATGATTTTCTTCTTGTGGACTTTAAGTCAGTGCAAAATAGAAGTTGCTGTTAATAGATGGGGTCCAATCAATATTCATGTAGGTGTCATACGAGTAAGAATCCACCTTTAAGCCTTAGTGTATGTTTCATGCATGTTTTTCCTTCCAATATTTCTGCTAACACTAATTGAATTGAATAATTGTAGTTAAAATATAAACTCTCTAACCGAATGTGGTACATAGGACTATTTGATATTTTATTTCTTATTCGCAAATATTTGCCTTTCTTCTTCTTTTTTTTTTAAGCCAGTGACAAGGCCACAAATATTGCAACTGTTATGTCCTTAGAGCGAATTCAAAGTCCCTGGTATAAAGACAGGAAGGAAAAATGGAAGGTTTATCATTTAGAAGAGGCTTTTAAGAAGCAACCATGAGGTGGAAAAAATAAACACTAAGAATGACTATGAGGCATATTAGATCTTAACAAGAAGGTACATGGAAACTAGAAAAGGAAAATGTGCTTTTGTTGAGGGTGGGAGAGGTCTTCGTACGTGATACTTTCTATAAATAATGAATAGGGTCACAAAATATAAAATAACATTCAATAGAATTAGCTATACTAATAAGAAAAAGAATCCTTTAGCTGCGTAGAAAAATAAACACACATACTTATTGGTCAGCGACTATTAAAATATATAGATTTAAACATCAAAATTTGAGTTAGCTTTTGATCCTTTGAAGAGAGTATTATCAAGATAATAATACATGATGAAATTAACATTCTCTCTATTGAAAATGATAGAAACAGAGCTAAGCAAGAAAGGGAATGTATTAGATTATATAAGTAACGTTTGTACTTAACATAGGAATGACCGGATCCAGAGCTCAGGTTATGTTATCATAACCAAGTCTGTCTCCATATCTCAGTGCAGGTTTCTCTCATATGATGGCAGTTCTAAACTTATATCCAATACTTTCAGAAACCGTGAACCTGTTTTTCATAAAGAGGGTGTCTCTCAGTGGGCAGAGTAGGGCTTTACATCCATTTCTCAACTATTCTGTGTGGTCATAGGGATGTTTACACTGAGTGGCTAGGCCTGGTCATCATTCCACTGATGGATTCAGGAATTGATGTCTGTTCCCACCAAATTACTTGGTATGGGAATTTAGGACCTTATCTCAAGGGCAATCAGGTAGGCGATGAAGGAAAAATGAGTATTGCACAAACAAACAACAAACAAAAAGAGGTATTCACTATATGAAGATTATAGATATCAACTAACGGTATGCAGGGAGTGCTTTATCATGTTCAGCACTACCACAGTTAAGAATCAAGGGAAACTGCATGATAGCAGTGACAATCCAGCCATCCAGAAAATTGCTTCATGATTCTGATTTTTATAAATATGGTGTTCTTCGGGTTTCCTTAGACAAGCAGGAAAGTGAACATCAGGGACTGAATCACGCCATGCTTTGAGCAGGGTTCCTTTCATCTGTCTTGGGCGACTATTACGCACTAGGCAAACGGAAAGGGAGAGGCTGCTCCTGGTCACATAATTCAGCAGACTTCCTCGTTCGATTCCTTTTAGTCTTCATTGTGCTTAGGGCTGCACTTGGGGGTGGCCACTCCCGTTGCAGTGGAGTGGATTCTGACTGTGGCCACGCCATAGATGCAGAGTCCAGCTGTGTCCCTAGGCTTTTCAATGGCTGATTGTAGGAAGTCATTTGACAGCCTCTTAGGATGTCCCTGGATGGACTCAAACTTTCTGATCTAGGTTAGCAGTTTAGGGCCTCACCTGTTTGCACCTCCCAGGAATTCTCTGTGGCCACTTGGTGATTCTCACTGAGTTTATTATTTGCTTTAATTTTTCAAGTGTGCCTAATTATACATTCTATTGATTTCTATTGACTGTGAAATGTTTGTGACACTTAGAGAGGTGTCTAGAAATTATTTTTGTTCTTGTCTAGAAATTATTTTTGTTCTAAGTATCAATAATGGGACAAAGCAACATCCAGGGCACTTCTAACGATCTTAGAGCACATTTACAGTAAAGGTAAATGGCAGAGCCTGAGTGTGTTAGGCTGGGTAGACTAGACAAATCCATAGAAACTCGTGTTTTTAAGAGAGTTTTATATAAAGGGTAAATGTACATTAAGAAAGCATCCCAACCCAGTCCAGTCCAAGCCCGTAAGTCCGACATTAGCCCATATGTCCACACCGATCATATGTCCACACTGACATTAGCCCATATGTCCACACCGACATTAGCCCATATGGCCTCCTCAAACTCCCAAAACACATGCAATGACACTGAATGCAGGATGATCACAGGCCAGTGGGTAGAAAGTTTGAATCCAGTGGTGGTGTAAGCATCTCAGCATTCAACACCCAGCTGCGCCAGCACCCAGGGCTACATCCCGGTAGGCCCATGTGGCTTCTCCGGGGGATGTCTTGCAGGAAGTGAGCCTGGCCAGCTGAAGCAGGGAACTAGCACACTGGTGGCGCCATCAGAGAGCAAGAGCCAAGAAAGGTGAGGCTCACCGAGCCATTTACCTCTCTGCCCTTCAACTAAACTGCCCTTCAATGAGTGCCACCTGTGTTCATTAGCCAGGTTGGCACGCTAAATCTATCGATCACAATGAGGAAACTGAAAAGGATGCACAATGAAAGGAGAAACAGGAAAGGGAAAAGCAAAGCTCGTAGAGGGCGCCAGGAAACCCCCGCGGTTACCGCTTGACGGAGAGTGCCTACCCTTGTGGGACAGGGCGTCTCTGTCCGATTTTCACGTTGTTCATCTGCTTTCTGTTTTCTCTTGTGCACAGTCTTTGTTGAGCATCCGTGGCTCCCTTTTCTCTCCAAGACGCAACAGCCGAGCAAGCCTTTTCAGTTTCAGAGGTCGGGCAAGGGACATTGGCTCTGAGAACGACTTCGCCGACGATGAGCACAGCACCTTTGAGGACAACGACAGCCGCCGGGACTCCCTGTTTGTGCCCCGCAGACACGGGGAGCGGCGCCACAGCACCGTCAGCCAGGCCAGCCGCGCCTCCCGGGTGCCCCCTGTGCTGCCCTTGAACGGGAAGATGCACAGCGCCGTGGACTGCAATGGTGTGGTCTCCCTGGTGGGGGGCCCGTCCACCCTCACCTCGCCCACCGGACAGCTCCTGCCAGAGGTGAGAGCACTGGACAGGCGGCGAACGGAAGGGAGTTGTAGATGACGATGTAAGCAGGTGGGGGGGGGGGTGTTATTGTTTTGTTGTGATTTTTAATCTACACTCGAAGCTTTTTCTGACTGAATGGTTCCAGGGGCAAGAGTCGGTACATTCAAGCTATCAGCTGCTTTGGCCAAACAGTTCTGTTTAGTCTTAGCTACAAAGGCACTGAAAACATGGCCTGGGCTTCAAAGAAGAGAATTAGTCTTTCCTTGGTTTTACAAGGGGATGGAACTTGTGGACGAGCAGAGTCATGGTTTGGCAATTATACCGTCGATGGCTGTCATTGAATCAAATCAGAGAATGTTTGTAAATGGCATGGACAGTCGTCTTAAGCCCATTGTTAGCGCTTTGTTTAACATGGGGGTTGGATGTTCCCACTTTAAGTAGATCTTATTCCTAATGGTGTCTGAACTCAGAAGTGCAACATTCAGTCTCCCCGTAGATCAGAGCATTGTAATATTTGTAGCAGATGTTCATATCGCTCCAGCTGCTGAATGTTTGACTGGGAAAGAAAACACTTTAAACATCTGGTTCAGAGTCCTGCGCTGTCCATTCTATTGGCAGATTACAAATTTTGCATTACTGTCGTGAATTATCTTTATAAAAAATTGCCTCCAAAACCTGCATATGGAAAAAATTTCAACTACTGAACACTTAGAAAGATATATTACTGACATTTTCCTTTATAAACGCTAAAGTACTTGTTAACATTTAGTATTAAATAAAACTTCACTTTGTCATTATAAAAATGAAACATTTCCACTTGGGTTTACTTTATAGCTTTCTGAATCATATGAAAGCCTCTTAATAATTCTCTACACAATTCCATTTCTCATTGGAAAACCTCTTCACTACATTAAAATCATACAGAGCTAGCTTTTTATTACCTAATTGAAGAGCTTCTTAGCTTAGATTTAAAATACGTGCATTAATTTTCACACACACACACACACACACAGATGCATAGCCTGTCTTCCACCCTTTGCTTCCAGAGATGTGTCCAAGTATCCTGGAATGATATCAAATTATGATAAAAGTATAAATTTGTAGTGAAGCAATCAAGAAGACATCAAAGGGATAGTCCACTTCTCTGCTGCATGCTGCTCCCCTAGAGAGAAGACGTGGCAGTCTACTCCTGACAAGGGACAGCCTTGGAAACGCTAGTACTCTGTCCTATAGGCCTGCTCTGAGGCAGACTTGGCACCATTACACCAAGGGTTTGCCTTTGGTTGACATAACACATGCTAGCCAGATACTTCAGGAGCTCTGGTGGTGTAGTGGTTGTGCTTTGGGCTGCTAATCATAAGGGCTGTGGTTCAAAACCACTAGCCATTCCATGGGAAAAGGGAGGATTTTTACTCCTGTAAAGAATTACAGTTTTAGCAGATGGACATTGGGCCTCCACTCAAGTACTTACTCAATGCAAGAACACGTTGTTCTATTAAATTGGCATTCCATGGTACACACCTTCCTGATACAATCGCTGAAGAAAAATGTGTGCATAAGCAAATGTGGTGAAGAAAGCTGATGGTACCCAGCTATCAAAAGATTTGGCGTCTGGGGTCTTAAAGACTTGAAGATAAACAAGCGGGCATCTAGCTGAGAAGCAGCAAAGCCCACATGGAAGAAGCACACCAGCCTGTCTGACCACGAGGTGTAGAAAGGACCAGTTATCACACATCAAAGAACAAAAAAATGTTATCAATGGGTGCCCACCTTCCCGATATGATCACTGAAGACAAACATGTGCATAAGCAAATGTGGTGAAGAAAGCTGA